GGCGAGGGAGAAAGGAGAGAGGAGAGAGAGAGAGAGAGAGAGAGAGAAGAGAGAGAGAGAGAGAGAGAGAGAGAAGAGAGAGAGGAGGAGAGAGAGAGAGAGAGAGAGAGAAAGAGAGAAAGAGAGAGAGAGAGAGAGAGAGAGAAGAGAGAGAGAGAAGAGAGAGAGAGAGAGAGAGAGAGAGAGAGAGAGAGAGAGAGAGAGAGAGAGGGGGGGGGGGCAGAGGCAGAAGCAGAGAGAGAGGAGAGAGGGGGGGGCAGAGGAGAAGCAGAGGAGAGCAGAGAGGAGAGAGAGAGAGAGAGAAGAGAGAGAGAGAGAGAGAGAGAGAGAGAGAAGAGAGAGAGAGAAGAGAGAGAGAGAGAGAGAGAGAGAGAGAGTTTATCCATTCATGGTTTCATATAATTACACATCGTCGACTTCAACACCTAACTTCCCATGTAGGATAACTACAAAACCTCCCCGACCGACTGCCAATCGTGTGGCATCGATGTTCCAATATATATCATGTTTATGTTTGGTAATATCCGTAATATCTGATCGGGTTTCATGATTACTCACTGTGCAATATATCACGAATCTATAAGCTATTCTTAGATTTACACGAGAATAAACATTTCTCAGATGAACAGCGCCTGGATTCCCTCCTTACAATGATCTCGTCCGTATTAATCTACGAGCTGCCAAGAATTCATCCTGAATCCCTTCTGTAATCTATAAAGCAGCCTGCCGGTTACGTTACAGCCTCTGGTATTCATCACTTCGATGCTTCGATACCGGTCGCTAATGCGAAGTTGTTTCTCTCTCTCTCTCTCTCTCTCTCTCTCTCTCTCTCTCTCTCTCTCTCTCTCTCTCTCTATCTCTCTCTCGTCTCTCTCTACTCATCTTCTCTCTCTCGTCTCTCTCTCTCTCTCTTGGGGGGCTCGTGTTCTTTCCCTTGTCATAGGCCAATTCAACTTTCTCCCCACGTCTTCATACATATACATTTTCTAAAATTCTTCAAAACCCTTCTCCTCTGGATATCCCCCATGTCTATTACCGGTAATCATAACCCTTGCCAAACCACAGGTATTCCTACAATTTCATAGGTTTCCTTTCATTCTTTCTTTTTTCAACACAAATACTCAAGAGATATTCCTAGAACCACTAACATCCCAGACTTTGCCGAGCTCTTACACGGAATCCTTGACCTCTTATGGTACTACCCTTGAGCAAGATCTATATAAGTACTTATATATACCTTGCCCTTGAGCATCCTCCCATCCTACTCGTCTTCCCAGTGCGATTCCTGCAATCCCTCCTCCGCGCCATCTACCCTCCCCAGCGCAGCCCTCCGTCTCTTCCATCCCAGCTCCTCCGCGGGACGTCATTACATAACTCTGATCTTATCTGCCACATCCCCTGTCTCCAGCCTGTCTTCATTACCACACGTGCCGCCGCCTCTGGCAAGATAACATGATCCATGAGACTCGTACAAAGCTGCCACGGACTCCTCCCTTAATGACGGGGAGTTCAGGGAGTTTGAATAGAGGGCTCTGTTACATGTGCTCACCAGATGAATCCTTTGTCCCGGTCTCTGACTTTCCACGGACTTTGATGAATAAGTTTCGTAATTTTGTGTTTGGTCTTAAAGCCAAGGTTGCCTGATATTTTTCTCCTGAACTACTGTCTCTTTTAGGAAGCATTTGATTATCCAATGTTTGCAATTCAATTCGTCTCTCAATCTCTAACTATAATCATCTGATATTCTACATTTCTTGTAATGACTTCTAAATATTCACCACTTACGATTCCTCCCTACCTGTGCTCTCCTAAACAGCACGATAGAAAGAATGGGAAAAAAGCAAGTGTCCCAAATAGTGCATGGGATACTCTCTGGCACTTCTCTATACATACAGTCAATGTCCTTCATCTGACGCTTGCTCGAATTTGCCCACAGTTATTAACAACAAACAGCAAGATTGTTTGTATTTGCAAACCATCTAATATATTCCTTCAACTGCAGCGGCCGTACCACATCCCCCAAACAGGCGAGCAACCGTTTAAGCTTTCAAGGTAACCAATCAAAATCCTTCCCATTCTCTACTAGGCTACCTGCTGGCGATGTTTCCAAATAGCCCTCTCGCACCTGTTGCACTGGAAGACCGCAAAATCTAAAGCCACGCCGTCATAACCTGTTACAAGCATCGCAAAGGGGAAATGAAAAACGAAGCCGTAACTCAAACTCAGATTCATTAGCATATTCATTACCGAAGTTGCAACACTGCCACAGGGACTTTTCTGAACTCAACACATTTTTCCTAACAGCATGTCCGATAAATATTGCTTCTGCATCGACGGTGCATACCACGCTGCATCTCAGCACATACTGGATGAGGTGTGCTAAAACAGGCCACGTGTTACGTGTAGTTAACGGCAGTGCTCTCAAGTTCACGGGAGAGGTAAGTTTCTTTTTCACACGCCATTAACACGTGCTTACACCCTTTCAGCTCCATGCAAGACA